AAACAAAAATGAATGACAGAGAATAAATCAGATACATACAAAGAAAAAAAGTCAATTAAAATCAACACAAATGAAAAAACAAAAAAAAGATTAACCATCACTTTTGTCATCATCTAACATATGATCATTTGTTGTTGTTATTGATGTATGAGATGGATTTGAATGTGAAAATATAGATGAAGGTCCTTCTTCAATATATATTGATTGAATATGTTGACCAGGTATAAGTGCAAGACCAAGTACACGAAATTCTTCTTGTTCACTTGGTGAACCAATATATTCATTACAATTTCCTAAGATAAGATTTTGATCACGATCTGTACATAATAAAACACCGACAAGAACACGTCCATCAATTATTGATACACGCATTGGTTTATTAAGCCAATCTTTGATTTGTTTTCGAGCTTGTTCAACATGATGATCAGTTTTTTCTGATATTAAACTTTTTTGTTCAATATCAGTCATCTAGAAAATCAATATTCATTAGTATAAACAAAAAATTACATTTACAATTATAAAAATTAATTTGTTAGAAATAGTAGAGTATAAAAAAAACAAGCAAAAAAAATAGCGAAAGTTTCGTTTTGTATCACATACGATTGTTTGCTTTATCATATTGCACATATATCACAGTTTTATTACTTGCTTATATAAATAATTTCGAAAAATTATCACGATTTATCATCGAATGATGATTTACTATTGATGTTAGGATGATCATCTTTTATTTCAATTGGAGAACAACAATGTTTAAAACCTAAAATAAATGAACAAAAAAACAAATAGGATGAAATGAAATAGAAATGTATTTACCTGTACAATAAAGAAGTGTTAATGCACCTTAAATGAAATAGAATTATGTTGTTAATTTTTGTATAAGATTCGAATTTAAAACAAACTTACCAAATGCTTGGACTTTTTCATCAACTTTCATAATTGCTGCTACAATTTTCTTTTTTCTATTTTCATCTGTTGAATGATCATTATATTCAAGAATTAATTCATCACGAATTCGATTTTGTAATTCAATTTCATGTTGTACACGAGAAATCTAAATAAAATATTGAATTCTGTCTTTTTCAAAAATAATTAATAAATTAACTTCATTTTCAAGTTTTTGTTTTCGTTCTTCTAATGGTAAATCAAGAAATAATTCGGATCCAAATTTATTTACTTTTGCATAAAGTGCTGTACGATCAACAGCTTTTTCACGAAATAAATTTTCAAGACTTGTCATATCAACATTTTCTTCGCTTAAACATTTCTAATAATGATAAATAGAATTTTTTCTTTAAATAACTATTTTCTATAACATACTTTTATAATATCTTGTAAATCATCTTCGGAAATATTTTCAGTTACTATTAAGAAAAAAAGATATACAGTTTATTTATAGAAATCATTAGGATTCATACCTGATGATGATCGTGGTTTTTTTGATTCTAATGTTGATCGTTTTGTTTTAAAATCAAGTAATTTATTATAAGCTGATGAAGCAGCATTAACTATTTTTGAAGATGACGGATTTGATACGGACCGTTTTCCTGTATGAGAATTATCGAATTCATCATGTTTTAATAATCCTGGGATAGTTGATGGTCGATTAGGAGATTTATTTCCAAATAAACGTCCGGAATGACGTATTAATGTATCAACTGGAGAATGTGTATCTATTAGTGAACTAGTTAACGAGCGTTTTTCTCTTGTTTGATCTATATTTGAAATTGAATCACTATCCTCAATTAACTGATTTTCTTCAAGAATTGCAGATTTTGAACGAATAGATTCTTGTGTACAAATACTTTCACGATTATATTTATATTCACATTTTTTATGTACTGTTACTAAACAAGTCCGACATTGTCGAGCAGATTTCATCCAAATTGTTTTACTACAAAAATAACATGTACCTACACTAAATTGTTGATCTTCAAATAAATGATTTGTAGATCTATAGAAATAAAATACAAATAAAGAAATTTCTCAGAATTATATTTACTTTGATGAAGATAACTTCTGTTCTTCATTAATTGTTGTTAATGGTTCATTTTGAATTTTAATTGTTTCCATACTCGATATTTCTTCTTTTTCTGATTCATGATTTAATTTCTTCTCAATTTTTGGTTCATGTCTAATATTGACAGTAACAAAACCATGAGCCATATTATCATCATAGTTCTTATGTTTACTTAATTCAACCAGATTTTTACTAGAACAAAATAAAATAGATCGAAAAATAAATTAATTAAAAGAAAATACCGAATTGGATCTTTAATATAATCTTTTCTATAGAAACAAAAACACAATATTATTTTATTAATCAATAAAATTATGAATAAATATTACAAATTAGATTGTTTTGTATTAGGAGATTGAAAATTAAGTGTCATTTGAGTTTCACGTTTGAAACTCATATGCGCATCCAATACAACTTCAGAAAGAGAGATTGTAGTCTAAAAGAAAATAAATCTATGTTCATAATACCAAGAAAACTTATTAACGATATGAGAGAAATCAAGGGGAAAGAGCGGAATCCGGATTCTGAAAAAACGTCCCGGGATTTTCCGAGGATTCCAGATTCCGCTCTTTTCCCCGAGCAGGGGTGTAAGTCAGGTGTCAAAGCAGGGGGGCGTAACCTTAGTTTTTCTATTTCAATAGTCAAAAAAAGTGAACTTTCTACAAGTAGGGGGGGCGCAATCCCCTTTTTTCCTATTAGTTTTCGGAAGCAGGGGGTTAGGCGCCCCACGCGCCCCGGTCCCCCTCTACTTACGCTACTGCCCCCGAGTGAGAGATATTCAATAATGACTTTTTATCTCATGTTCATTGAATCATAGTATTTTAAGACATCTCACAAAGCCTATACGGATATGTATCATCCGTAAAATTATTTAAGTATTAATAGTAACCCGCTGGGTTATGACTTCCGCTAACATTAGATTCTAGTATTTTGAAAATATTCTTCAGTGTTCAAACAGAATTTTTTTTTATTCAACGATACATTTTAATTCGATTAGATAAATTATACTCTATGAGTAATCTAATAATATATTTAGGTTTGAGTACATTAATATGACATTCTATATAATCGAGATTTGATAGTCTCTTAAAAGAACATTTGTTTTCGACATAAGCATGACATAAAAAACGAATTAATATGTCCGATTAACTCTAATAACTTACATAGCCGAGTAGTATAAGTTTTTTGTTCATACTTGGCATATCAAAATCGAGTGTTGGTTTACACCATAAACAAATATTAAGATATTGATCATTTTCATTTGCTGGAAATTCGAATTTATCCTTAAATTCAACATACTATAACAAAAACATAAGATTTTTCTTCTTCCTTTCAAAATAATAACAAACCGTTGCAGGTTTTCGAGTAAGAGTTGCTTTAGCTTGAAATTCTGGTAGCATGTCAGCATTCATCATTATTAAATTTATCATATCTACAGAAGAATTCTTCTATAATACATATAAAGATTATTAAGATATAATAATTTTATTATGTACTTGATGTTCTATTGATGGATCAACGTCTAATAAAAAAAACAAACTAAAACTAAATGATTGAAAATTCTATATCAAACCTTGAATTGGTTGTTGTACTGTAGTTAATAATTCTTCATTCTCTACCGTTTTTATTGTTTCATTTACATATGGTACTTGAACATAATGTAATAAAGGTATACCAACTACAATTTTTATTTTTCGTTCATTTTTATTAGTTGATTTCGGCTTTAATAAAAGATTTGTTTGTTCTAATTGTTTAATTTCTTGATTTTGAATTTGAAGTAAAAAAATATTTTTATCTTGTAAAGCTTGTTTAAATGCGTTTAAATCTTCGATTTCATTCGGTATTGCATCAAGTTCTTCAATTAAAATTTCAATATGATCCATATATAAAACTTCTTTGAGACGAATTTTATGTACATTCGGTATAAATTCAATTTCTTGTTTTATCCATTGATCACGATTAATACGTAAATAATCTTTACACATTTGCTTATTTATACCAATTGTTAAAAAAATAAATAATGATGACGAATTTTCTTTATTAAATATTGCATATGGAATTGAAAGTCGATCACAATGTTGTATTTCAATATGAAATTTACCGAGTATAAGATTACTATTAATAACTGATGAAGCTTCGGTTGATAAAGGTTGTTGTGAAGTAGGAAAAAATGGTCGATAACGAATTTTATAATTAGGCCATATTTGTTTACGTCGTATAGTATGACGTATTCGTTGATCAATAATATGTGCGAGTTGAGAACTTTCACGAGATGATAAATAAGATTTAATGTCTAAATCAATTAATGGTTCATCTTGAAAAACAAGTAACCAATGTGAAAATGGTTCACGTCGAAATTCTAAACGTAAACGTCCTTGAATACGTTTGATTTTTATAGATAATTGACATGTTTGATTAAATGCAAGTTTAATATCAAGCATAACAGAAAATCCATCTTTATAATCAATATGAAGTTTAGTTACGAATTCCTAGAGAATGCATATATACATATATATAATATTTTCGAAGAATTTAATTTATACTTTAATTAAACCACGTTCATCTCGTTCTTGTTGTTCAAATTGAATATCACTAAGTACTGGACATTCTTTTCCAAGAGAAAAACTTTGTATCTATAGATAATATTTACATAAGTTTAACATAAGTTTTTTTATTTGTACGAAAAACCTACGATAATATCTTGTAGAAATAATTTTCCTATTCGAGTATTTTTTAATTCAGTAAATTCAATTTTTAATTTATTTGTTATATAACGTCTTATTCTTGATGTATCTTTCATTTCTTGAAATAAAAATTGCATTATATAATTTACAGTATCAATTGTAGAATTTTTCGATTGTTCATTCTAAGATGAACAAATACACACATACCTATGAAATACAATTTAAAGACATATATATATAATCTTACTTCAGATAATGGATAAAAATCTTGATATTGTTCTCGTTCAGCAATTATTTCTCGTAAATCCAATCCATAATATACATATAAATATACTAACAAAGCAATTATTGATATACATCCAAAAAGATAACTGAGAAGTACACTCAATAAAAACATTATCACTATATAAATATATATATATATATCTTCAATAATAGAACATGACGTGAGTAAAAAAACAAATAGAATAAGGCAAATATTTAAATTTATTTTAGTCAATTTTCTTTATTATTGTTGTTCGTTTGCTTGTATTCAAAATTCTATTGTTTTATACACACACACGCACACACATTTTCGAAAGCGTCATACAAAACTATACAAACATATGAGTGAAAGAGAGAGAGAGAAGAAGAAAAAAAGAAGAAGAAGAAATAAAATCGCACTCAATCAATTATTATCATCATCATCCATCCTTAATATTTCAAATTTGTTTTTGATAATTTTAAATTATATGTATACATACATATACATATACACACACACAAACACGCGTTGTTTTTTCTATACGGAAGAATCTTTT